TGGATTGTGAGGGTAAAATCCTAGAATCCTAGAACATTTCAGGTTGGAAAAGCCCCTTGGGATCATCGAGTCCAACCACTGACCCTACACTACAAGGTCACCCCTAAACCACATCACCCAACACCACATCTAAGCGACACTTGAACACATCCAGGGATGGCGACTCAACCCCCTCCCTGGGCAGTCTGTGCCAGGGTCTGACCACTCTTTCTGTGAAGAATTTCTTCCTAATGTGCAGCCTAAACCTGCCCTGTTGCAACTTGCAACCATTCCCCCTGGTTCTGTCCCTAATTCCCTGTGAGAAGAGACCAGCACCAACCTCTCTACAATGTCCTGTCAAGTAACTGTAGAGCTGACAGACTCCAGCTTTCAGAGCTTGATGTGCTCCTTGCTGTTGGAGTATTGTGTTCTATATACTTGCTCCCTACAAAACACTCCAGCATTTCTTTTTTACTTACACTTTTTACTTGCATTTAAGTAGTGTTGCAGGTTAGAGCTGGCTGGTTGGACATGCGGGTTTTCCGTGGGCGTTATCCAGTTTCACAAAAACTTCCCGCAAACATTTGATTCTTCTAATTTCTTTCTTTCACTTCGTCTCTTCGGTTGAAGATCCTGCGTGGGACCAACGAGAGCTCCCGCGTAGGAACCGTCCGCACCAGACCACGCCGTGGCCTCGAAGGTTCGTTGCAGGGACATGCGTGGTCCTCGGGGAGCTGCTTTCTGAAGAGGATTTTAAGAGGGGAAATCAAGCGGTGGTTTGCTTCCAGTTGGGTGTGAATGACATCGGAGAGCATGGAGGAACTGAGAAGCGGCCGCGGTGGGGTGAAGCAGAGAGGCTTTATCAGCCTTCCTGAAATCCCACCGGTGGCTTGTCTCTCTGTCTGCCTCCAGGGATCTATGATCTTGCAATACTCTTAAAAATACCGAGCTCAAGCTTCATCTCTTGAGTTTATCCTCCTAAGGAAGGAGAATTTTCTCCCACCGAGGATTTGAGGAGAAACGGACCCACAAAGTGGAGCCTGCAGAGTACCACCAAAGCATCTACACCCTTTAAGAGAAAAAATACCCAACAAACCAACGAAAGAGCTGCTCCTTCAAAAGTGAAGGCTTTCTGCTGTTGTTCCTAGCAACCATTTCCTCAGGGGGATTGTTTCCATATCTTACGAGTAATTTCTGAGTCCCAACTCGACGCTCGCAAGACAGTTTGTGTCGTGACAGGAGCTGGGCAGCTCGCGTCACCCCGTGGGGCTGGGTCATCGGTAGCAGTGCCGGTTCTCATCGCCTGTCTGTTCTCTTCCTTGCTTTTTCCTAACTAATGGTGCGGGAAACCAAACACAACTTAAGGAGCATGTTGACGTTTATCATTACTCAAACACTTGCAGTCTTGAGCAGTCAGCAAAAATGCCAAACGTTGGGGGTGTCGGTGAGGAGAATTGGAGAGGAACCCCAAACCGTGTGTAGGACCAGGCTCCTACCACTTGAACGGCGACTTCGTCGCTGTTACAATTCCTATTTTTAGTAGCAAACCTCAAAAAAAAAGAAAAAGCCTGAAGATACAGAAGACAATGCAGCCATCCGTCTGAGCAGACACGTCGCCTGCGGTGTTTTGGTGCACGCGCCATCTCTACGTCCCACCAGCCCTGCCTGGAGCCCCTTCGTTTGGGATTTGCCATGGCCTGAGAGAGAGTCCTGGGAGCTTTTTGGTGCCCTGAAGGTCCAGTTTTCAACCCCCCCTTACCAGAAAGTGTGGCTTAAGTGTGGGAGCTGCAGGTTTTGTGTCTTTGCTGGTGTTTGCAAGGTGGTAACCAATAGATTAAAAGGTCAGGACGGGGTTGCTGGGAGCTGATGGCAAAGGGTGATAGCACGGAATGCTCCCAGCAGTCGGTGCTTTGCAGAGCGATGTAGGTCATGTAACACACCTTCCCCCCCAAACAGCATCTAGAAAATACGATAAATTTTACTTCTAATAGTAAAGTTGTGCCGTTATACACTGCGGGGGTTGAAGGCTGATGCTCGGCTTTTTCCCGGCGGGGAGGTTCAGGTTTGGTTTGGTTTCCTTTCTTTATTGTATTTTAAAGCCAAAGAGCCGTGGGTCAGCTGGATCTTTGCTGCAGCAGCTCCTCCGCTGGGGTCCAGGCGATGGAAGAACCCGGACTGCTACAGAACCCGTGCAGGCTGGTTTTTGGTCATCCCCCTCCCCTTGCAGAAGCTCTAAAATAGACCAGGCGAGGTCCTCAAACAGTGTTGACACTTGGCTTTGGTGGCTTCATTGCAGGGACGCTCCCTTTTACCCTTTCCTGTAGGTGTGAGATCAGATCTCAGGTTTGGGTCTTCGAGGGTTTGGTTCTGACTCCTTGTTCCTTTGGGAAACGAAAAGAAATCTTAACACCTTAGTCTGTACGACAAACAGCTCGGGGCTGTCAGAAGTCAAGGCAGCAAGATCTGGAAGTCAGAGGGGCTCGTGGGAGATGGCTGGACACCAGGAAGGAAGATGGGAAGCCGAATATACAAGTCTGATAGAAACAAGTGATGTTTATAGCTCGGGGACCTCATTGCTGCAAGGTGTTAGGGACGTCAGTGGCTTCAGAAGATAAAGATTTGAGTTTTGTGGGGACAGCAGGGACAACCAGGGTTGAAAAGTTCTCCAAAGTGGAAACTTTGGTGCGGGAGCCCCCTTTTTCTGTTTGCAGGATGAGACCCTGCTCTGGGACCAACCACAGTTTCAGCTGGAAAGAATAAAAGAAGGTTTTGGGCTACATGAGAATCTCCTTTTCATGCCTGGCTGTCACTCACACTGCCCTAACGAAGTCGTGTTACAGTAATTACAGTGCGTTACGGTTCAAAGTTCAAAAGCTGGTGGTTTTTTCCCCCCCCTGGTGAGCGTGACCTTTTCTTGCTGCTGCGTGGCGTTTGCCCGGGAAGGTTGCTGCGCAGAGCTTGATCCATGATGGAGTTTGGTCGCCATGGCTGGCGAAAGGATGCTCCTTCGCAGGAATCACAGAAGGGCATCTCCGTGGCGAGTTGTCATCCCTGAAGCTCAAGGCTACCGGTTGCTCTCCGTACCTCTTTCAAACAAGCGAATCTGGTTCGTGTGGCTGGATGGAGCGCTTGGCAGCGCTGTTGTGCTGATCCAAGTGAGGATCGGAGACTCGCGTTGCCCTTTTCTTCATCATCAGTTTAGAGGAACTGAGTCAACGAGGTAGGGCAGGGTCTCCAGAGCCTGGTGGCCACGCGAAGTGCAGTGCCAAGACTAGATCTGGATCTATTCCTTGCCTTTTCCGGGGATGTCCTGAGGGACAGGGGATTGGTTGAGGGATTTCAAGAAGATGTGGAAGTGAGGATCGGAGACTCGCGTTGCCCTTTTCTTCATCATCAGTTTAGAGGAACTGAGTCAACGAGGTAGGGCAGGGTCTCCAGAGCCTGGTGGCCACGCGAAGTGCAGTGCCAAGACTAGATCTGGATCTATTCGTTGCCTTTTCCGGGGATGTCCTGAGGGACAGGGGATTGGTTGAGGGATTTCAAGAAGATGTGGCTACACCTAACCTCTAGGCATTGTCAGAGGGACCTCAGCCACCCTGCTGCTCTCGGAGGCTTTGCTCCTTCGTTAGTCACCTTGTCGGGCATCAGGGTTGAGGTGGAGCCACATCTCACACGAGCTCTGCGTCTGGCTTTTCTGCGGTTTCCTTCCAGCGCTCACGTGCCTGGGGATGCTGGCTGTGAGCCCACCCTAAGCCTGCATGTCGTTGTCGCCGCGGGCTCCCAAGGAAGCTCTGGAAGGAAACGCCCCCCTGCTTCTGCTGATCGTGCAGGTCTGCCAGCAGATGCTGGAGGCCGTGACGGAGGCGACTGGAATAGGCGTTGGGCTCCATCCCCTGCGTAATCGACCGCAGCCATTGACAAGAAGCACAGTCTTGGAACGTGGAGGAGCAGAAATCCCCAGCTTTACCATAATTTTACTGCATGACCATGAGCGAGTTGCTTGGCTTGCCATGAGTCCCTCTGTGCAGGGCGGAGTTACCACATCCTTGAGCTGCTGCACCCTGTGTTCCCGGGCGGTGGGATACGAGAACCTGCGTGGAGGATGCTTGGAGCTGGAGGAGCTTGGCCTTGTTAATAATCCAGACTTCTGCAGAGGGAGAGGGTGCGAGCATCACGCCGACGAGCTGAGATTTACCACGAACGGAAAATTGAAGTTTGGGTAATCCAGGACCCAAGCTGGACGGAATCTGCTGCTCCAAACTGAAACGTTGTGCCTTACCCTTTGGACATCTCTGTTTCCCTCAGTGTTGCGCGATGGTTGCTGAGCGTCGCGCGTGCCACGCAGCGCTGGGCTCTGCCTTGCTTCAGACGTGGTCGCCGTGCTTCATAATCACACAGAATCGCAGAATTGCCTTGGTTGGAAAAGACCTTTAAGGTGATCAAGTCTAGATGTCCGTGCTTGTGACAGCTTTGTGTCACCCTGCTCCTGTCGTGGCCCCACGGGAAGGAGAGCAAAGACAGGCTCCCAAATCTCCTCTTCCCTCTGACCCCTTCCAATGCGCCGTCACTTGCTTTTCTGATGTGTTTTCCCCAGATTTGCTTTCTGCTGTGGTGCCTTCTTGCCCTTTGTCCGTGAATAAAGAGAGGGGTGTCCCTGCGCAGGCCCTGCAAGGGCTCCGTGAGTGCAGAAGGATGGTCACTGTGTTTGATCACTTGCCCGTAAGGGACTTTGGCTCTTTGGGGTCACTCACGTTGTTCCTTCGAGCTCTGGGTGGGAATGAACTGTCTGAGCAGCTTTTTGTCAGTGCCCCGTTGGGAATGGAAAGGCAAGGAGGGAACTCAAGTCGTCTTCTTTCATGCCAGGAGGCACTGTCCCTCACCCACAATGAGCCAGCACAGATGACCCTGCCGGAGCTGCCTGAAAAATGAGGGGGGAAAAAATAATGCGGGGAGGGATCTTTCTCACCCTTCCTCTGTGTTTTTTCTTCTTCTAGGGGGAATTGAGCCATCCCCGGACGAGAGGACTCTGTTTCTCTGCGGGGCTGCTTAGCCAGCCAGAGGGTGAGTGCCACACGGGCAGGAGCAGATGAGGCTCCTCCTGCCCCGAGATACTCATTTGTCTTTTTTTTCTGCTACTTCCACCTCTTTCACCCCTCACTCGCTGTCTGGACCTTTCTGCTGCAATGGGATGTGTGCTGTCCTGGAGACCAGAGCTCACCGGTGCTCTTTGATATTATTTTGCTGCGAAACCTGGCCTTTGAAATGTCTCTTATCTGTTAAAAGTTAAAAGAAGAAATACAAAAGACCTAAAAGCATTATCAAAGCAACTGGTGCAACTTGCCAGCTGCGAGTACCCTCTTTCCTTATCCATTTGTTTGCTGTAAAAATAGCTATGTGTTAAGATTTAAAGCAAGCAGGAAGCTGAGCAGCCAGCCCTATTTCCATTGCAAATTCTTTTCTCAGCGAAAATGCCTTGGATGCGTTTCCTGAAAGCCGCTTCCTAATTTTTCCCTGTCAGTGGCTCGTTTGGGAGGAACGGGGAAGGGACGGGGAGGGAGAGGAGAACGGAAATCTCGTCGGCAGAAGGCATTCCTCGACTCTGGGGTCCCATTTTCCAGCCTGATACGCATCGGTGGTGCTTGGGTTGGGACTTGCACGTTCCTTAAGTGATCCCTGCCCAGGACTGGGCAGCATTTGGCCCAAAGCCTGATGTTCTCTGTCCCTGTTAATTGCTGTAATTACAAAGATCCACTTACACCAGTGCTATATACTCATCCGGTCCAAGTTTCTGCTTCATTGCTCCTTACATCTTGGGGGAAAAATCACTATGATTTGATACCGAGTCTAAGAAAGGGAAGAGATTGCTCAGAGCTTGGGTTCGTGGTTGCCTCCTGCACTTATTGTCATTTGTAACGTGGGTCTTGCTTTAAATTTCCTGGGTATCTGTCCATCTCCGTGGGCTCTGCGCTGCCTTGCACGCAGCTCCTCACCGATGGGTTTTTGCTGCAAAGGAAGGTTAGAAGCTCCACCTTGGCCTCTCCGTTTCTACAGTGCATGTTCTTCATTTGCTTGGGTGTTGTTGGGGTGTTTTTTTTCAAGGCTGGGAGGTCTGGGAGGAGAAATCTTTGTTCCAGGGCGAGGAGCCAGCCCGGGCAGGGGGGGAAGCGCATCTGCCTCTGACCCACCTGCTCGCCCCAGGAGCCTGGAGAGGAGATGAAAGCGGAGGAGCCCTGGCACTCCGAGAGCTCTTCCTCCCCCTCAGCGCTCTCCTCGACATGTTGGCAGAGTCGGCGCCAGATCCTAAAGCCCTGAGAGCTGCTCCTTTTGTGTTGAAGTGTCCCAGCCTGCTCCGTGGTGTGGTTGTGCCTTCACCAGGCTCTCGGGCAAAACTCCTCTTCCTCACGTGGGGGCTGCTCTTGCTCAGCCAGAGCCTCAAACAGCGGTTTGAGCGTAAATCACGGGCAGAATTTTAAAACTGGCTTTGAGTTCTTCCATTGTGGCCGGTGTTTTGGGCTGCTGACGTGGCTGGTGGCCCAGGTGGTCTGTCCCACGCCCTTGTGGTTTTCAGAGGGTTCGCGTTGAGCAGTGGGGTGGGACGATTCCTTCGCTCACCCGTTTCCCTCCCACCGGCCAGCAGGTTGTCCTGCGGGCCGTCAGGCGTTCCCTGCGTGGAAGTCAGCCTGGGAGGTGGGTTCTTCTGCTGAGCTCCTTGCCTTCGGGGAGGAGGCGATGGTGGGAGGTGAAGATCCCGGCAGCACCTGCCAGAGGTTCCTGAGGGCTCCTGCTGGAGACGTGGGCGTGAGCAGCCCTGGTTTAGAAGCTCCTGAGATAAGGGACCCGCTAATGTCTCTCTGGAGCTTTGGTGGCCCGTTTTGGCTGAGTGGGGCCAATTCTCTCCCCCAGAGGGCAAGCTCTTGGGTTTGGTCTTTGGGTTTATTGTGTAGGCTGGGTGCTGTTTTGGGTGGTTTAGGCTTAGCTGCCTCTCACTTGTTTTCCTTCAAGTAAACTGGCAACAAAGAAGAACTTCATTAAGAAAATTTGTTATTTGAGGGGGAAAGCAAGAAGAGCATTGCTGGACGTTCTTGCTGCTCACAGGTTGTGCTCAACCATCAGGAGCCAGGGGACAGAAAAGGGGCGGCAGCTTTGGTGAGGATGGTGCTATCTTGTTGTCCTTTATCCTTCCATCTTCTCTCAGAGAGGGAAGACGAGCGAGCACTTCAGAAGCCCGGTGCAGTCGTGCAGTCTCTGGCAGAGGAGTTGTGTTGCCAGAGGCGCTTCAGCTGGAAACTGTGCAAGGGCTGGGCCACGTGCAAGGACCCGTCCGTGCCTGCTTGAGACCTCGAGCAAAGCTGTGGCTTGCACCTCGCTGCTGGGACGTGTTTGTGGCTCCTGTGGAAGCAATCCCTCTCCTCCAGACCTGCCTGGGCCTCAAACCTGCCCGCAGCTTTCTGCTCTTCCTCCTACCAGATTTCTCCGTGAACGTGGGCCCACGTTTTGAGCCTCCTACATGATGTCATTCCTTACCCCTTTTTTTTTTTCCTTTTTTTCCCTCTGGAGCTGTATTTTTATGCTCAAATCTCTTGGGACGGGCTGCCTTCTCCTTCAGAACTTGAAGAACTTGCAGAGGATGCAAGAAGTCATTCTGTTCCTCTGAGGCTTTTTTCTTTTTTTCCCTAGTCGAAGCCATTTATTACCTCCAAGTAATTTCTCCAGGGCAGGGCCACCATTTCCAACTCTTACTCCATCTTTGACATCCCTCTCTCTTTTCTCACCTGTGAGCTGCATCGTTTGAGTTTTGCGGGCATGCGTCCAGCAAGCCAACAACGAGCATCTCGGGTTAGATTTACAAAAGCGCTTGTTAATTTAAAAAGGAAATTAAAATGAGGCGTTGGATAGGCTGTGATTTGTAACACGGCATCAGCTTGCCAGCCTCCTTTCCCTAATCTCGGCCAGGCTGGGTGGGCCTGAGAAAGCATCAACATTTTGACTCTTGAGGCAAAAGGAAGCTCCTTCAGTGATCCTGGAGGTCCTCAGAACCTCCCTCGTGGCGAAGGCGTTGGAAACCCACTGCAGATCCCTTTCGCTTGACACCCGAGCTGCGCTTGAAACTGGTGGCATGATGGGATGTCCTGGTGGGGCCAAGCCCCTTGAGTTCCTCACCTCTGCTGAGGGACCTTCTGGAGGCTTCGCAGTCAGGTCCCCAAAACCACTTCTGCCCCGGGGGGGGAAGCTCTCTGCTGGAGAAGAGGGACTGTGAAGAGCACCAGGTTGTTCTCTGCAGGGTCTCTGGGTGTCACCTGTAACCTTGATGCCCACACCTCCTTTAGGTCTTAGCCCCACAAAAGCTTTTGTTGGGCGCCTCGGTCCTCGCTGCCATGGGCAGAGCAGAACAAAGCCTGTGCAGGCAGGGGAGGGGGTGTTGGACGGGGCTTTGAGCAACCTGGTCTAGTGGGAGATGTCCCTGCCCACAGCAGGGGGCATGGAACTAGATGATGTTTAAGGTCCCTTCCAACCCAAACCGACCTGTGATTGTACGTACCTTCTGCCCTCACCTTCACTGTCACCTCCTCCCTGCAAAGACAAAGATAAGGGTGCTGGTGCCCACCGGGGCTGGGCGCTTGGTCTTCAGGCTTCCTGCAAGAGCCTGGCAGATGTTTCTTGTTTGCTGGAGCTGCGTGGCTCTGGCTCCCAGGCTGGGAGCAGGGGCCCGCC